GGGACCACGCAGGCCTACACCTTCTCGTACTCAACCATGCTCCAGACGCTCTGGTTCCCCAGAAAATGGGATGGAGCCACCTCTCCCTTAGTGTACCCTTTCTCCCAATAACTTTGGGTCCCTAGATCAGCAGAAGTGAATGGACAAGAGGAGCAGAGCTGAAAGCTCAAAGCCGCAAACTGCAGGAGGAGCCTGGGTGGGGCCCTTGATCAAAGAAAACGGAGGAAGTAACAGTGAAAGCAGTGTCTCTTGTCCTCCACTATGACTTCATAGCACTGGGATCCTAACATGATTTCCTGAGTTGCAAAGAAATTATCACCCATTAAAAGTCTCATTTAGATGTCATTAAAAGTATGTTTCCAGAACATCCTATTCCCTGTCAACAAAGTCTTATTACAGTTTTCAAAGTCTAGTTAGGCTGAAAATGTTCCTTTCCTTTGAAATATTCATTATTCCCACCATAGCCAGAGTACGTCTCATCCCCTCCAACAAGTTCTGCTAAGTTCGGTGAAGAATCATCATCATCACCATCACCATCATCAACAAGACCCCCTCTTTTATGATCACCATCTCCTTTGCCCAGCAGTATGCCAAGGTTTTACATGAAATTCTTGATAATCTGCTATTATTATTTAACTTTAGACTTGAAACTCAAAGGTTAAATAATTTCCCAATTTGCACAGCTGAACTGCAACTGAAACCCAGGTTTCCAAACTCATTCCCATACCTTCTTCCTTCTTTTGTCTCTCTCAGGCATACCAAAGCAATCTTTCAACCACATTCCCTTGGAAGCCAACCAATAGATATGCAGATACAAGCCACCCAAACTCAGCTTTTGTTGTTGTTCTCTGACTTTGTTCTTGAATCCTGAAGTCTGTGCAAGTCCTTTCAGGCACAGTGCAAACCCATTTTCACACTAATGAAAAGATCTGGGAGAACACTGGATCAGAAGACTGGGCAAATCTACCTCTTCTTATCTCCAGTGCTGCCAGTAACTCATTGTCAGTGACAATGTGTAGCCAAATTTTAGTAGTAGAATTTGTTCAAATTAATCATTCTTGTAGAGTATTAATTCTAGATTGCCATCAGTCACACCAGGACATCAGTGTATTTTTTCTCTAAGGCTTTGCCCCTGACTCCAGAAGTAGAGAAACCAACCAGCTCTTAGCAAATAAATATACTGGGCTAAAATTCTGGTCCTACACTACCCTAGCATTTTTCTACTTCCAGAGGGTGATTTGCTCTGATTCTAGGACACATCAATACCCTCATGTCTAAGCCACCAAACATAACCAATTGGTAATAGAATTTGAAAAATGCCTCCTGGATTTTAAGTACCCAGAGTGGTTTGCAACAGCAGTATATCAGCCTGATAACACACACAAGACTCAAGATATATGTGAGCTCCTGATACAAATGATTCTTCACCCAGGCACTGGTGCTAAATAGAAGTTCATCCATCCATTCAGCCCACTAGCCATTTCCTACAGGATGGGGCTAGAGTTGGGACTGTACTACCAACTCTCGCCTTCTTAGGAAGGTCAAGGTGGGCTTGAGGATCACCTGTACACCAGTGTCTCTCACAGAAAGGTGGAGAGCTAAGGCTCCAGGATGTTAACTGTGGGATATTGTCTAATATCCCTTACCCTTATTAGATTGTGCCTTCAGCTTGTTGCCGCAGGACTCTGGAATGGGGGTTAGGAGGCTATGGGTCAGGGCTACCTCACACAGAGAGCTTATAAGGCAAAATAACAGTCTTCATCATGGGCTGCTGAAGACTTCTGTTTGGTTTTGGTTTTGCTTTGTTTGGTTTTACTTTCTGTCTCCTCTTCAAGTGTATTATTTTAAGAAGAATGTTATTTTTAATTATAAAAGAAGCATATGCTCTGTACATAAGAATTAGAGAAAACCAGTAAGAAAAATATTGTCTATAATCTTCCCTGGAGATCCCACCATCATCTGTTGTTGTAGGTGCATTTAGTAATTTTTAATATAACATGCATGATAGTATTTCTATAAGACCACTTGCATTATACAGTTTTATCTTGCTTTTTTAAAAAGGCTATTTATTTTGAACACTTATAATGTCATATGAAGGTAAGCAGTCTGGGGACTTTTCTGTTCAGTATTCCCTGATTTGAGTCTTGGCCAGGCTAGAGGAAGATAACCAAATTACTAATACTCTGCACTGAAGCTTCCCTTTAGTAGTGAAGCAAGTTATTCTGCCCACAATCAGGAGCCATGCCTGACAGTTTCTCCATGTGGCTTGGTCTCTCCTTCTCTAGTGGACAGATACAATTTATCTGAGGCATCTGTTCCACTTCCTAGAGATTTTGATTCCATGAATCTGATACAAAGACACAGACAAACACACACACACACACACACGCACACGCACACACACTACATCCTGTACTTGTAATGATTTCCAACCCATAGTCTATAAATTTCCAGAGTTGCCTTAAGTGTGGAACAAAAATTATGGAGTCCATTTAGAGGTCTCAGTTCTATGGAGCTCCTAACATCCCCATTCCCCCCACCCTAACTCCTAGCCGCTCAGCCAATTACCTTAAGGCAGCAGCGGCTGAAAGGTCAAAGGTCAGGCAGGTCAGCCTCGGGATTTATGTCCACTTCAGGAGTCATTGACCCGCATCGGCTTCTTTAGAGTCAGGACCAGACAGGGATCATCAATATTGTTACAACAGGGTTGGAAATGCACTCCTTCCCCTTGTGGGATATGCTACTGAAGGCATAAACACGGGAAAAACTCCTTGCCCAACTCAGTCCTTTCAGGTGGGAAATAGGTACACATTTAAACATGAGCAAAATTGCAACAAAGGTAACATTCTTTTCTTTATAACTGAATTTAAAACATATTTTGGGCTCCCATTCCATCAAGAACAGAAACAATCTTGGCCAAGTTGGAGATTCCCTACTTTGCCCAGAGTGAAGCCCAAGTTTCAGGGCCCATGAAGTGATGGTCTGATAGATGTTTAGCAATGGGCTTTTTGAGAGAAGAGCACATGTACATATATGTTACTGTAAATTTTTCTCGATATAAAAGATATATAACACAAATATTCTTAATTTTATTCTTTATTTCTTTATTTTTAATTCAGCATAACTATGCAGAACGTCTTCAGTAGTTTGTTGAACTCCTATTGTTATGGAAAGAATTGGCAAGTGAAACACAGAGAGGAGTAACAAAAGTTTACTCCATCGATAGGGATTGATCACACCTAAGGGCAGTGCCCTGATTGATCCAGTCCCGGGCTTCAACTCCCCCTTTTATAGGGTTTTACAGACTTGATCTCATTCAAGTGGTTACATTTCATTTTCACAGTTCACGTTGCTGACATTCAAAACATGGTGGCAAGGCAGTAGAATTTTAACCTGGATGTAGCACTTCTTTGGTAGAGGAGGTTACCTTTAAAATTCATTTAGTTGTCTATTCTAGCCCAGGGGAAGGGGGCATGTCAAGATCAGCAAGGTTAACAATGGTTCTTTTCATTTACATAACTTTTTAGGGAGACTAGATGCCTCCCGTGCCTGTTGATTCTGAACTAAACAAAGCAAATGACATAAGTTATTTTACATTAAAGTGTTCTCTATCACTATATCTATAACCAATCTATAGTTGCAATTCAACCATCATTTGACAAGATCAGACTGTGATGGCTACCCACTGAGAAAAGCCACCATCACTGATGAGTGTGTGTGATTTCAATATTGATGTTGGTTGACATTTTCTTTCCATTCACAAGGATTTTCATTCTCTACTCAGTGACGTGAACAATTTCTTTGCTAAATTAGATGACAGTTTTATAATATCGAAAGAATATTTTCTCAATTTTGTGCTATTTAACACAAAGCAACAGCAATTTACACAGCACACTTTTAAGTTTAATTTGACTTGTTAACATTTTCTTCAATTCAGTTTAGGAAATCAAGCCCTGATTTGTAGCATTTGCCAATTTCCATGGTATAAATACTCTCACCATGCCTAATTTCTAGTTACCAACACAGCATCAGTGGACATGAGGCTGAGAAGCAATGCTTACCATTATTTAGTGCTTCCACTATACAGATACACATACAGATACATATAGATGCACATACATATTCACATGAGCTACATATATGTAAATAACCTCAAGAACATATATAATAGTGAAGTATTGCAAGAAACCCACAAAGTAGCAAGTTTTGTATATTTACTTCCTGTGTTTTAATATAACTTAGCTGTACATTTATAACATTTAATTTTAATAATAGAAATGTTTAGCTATCAGCTCACAAAATTCCTGAAACTAGTAATTAGGTTTTGTGAACTGATATACTGCTGGTCAAATGTGCTGTTGATGGTTGGACTTGGTGGATACTCTTTTCAACTCTTATTACCTATCCATATTGACACTCAGTGTAAGACTTTGCTGTCATGTGGTCTCTGGTCATTGGTTCCAGAAAGTTGTGCTGTGTCCTGGCTTAAGCTTCATGCTCTCTGAGTCTCTCCAGATCACATAAATTGTCTCCACTCATTTCTATGCCCCTCTGAATGAACAGCAATACAGATTTTCAACTCAGTGGAAGAGTTGGGCAAGTCTTTTCTCTAATGATATGCAATGCTAGCTTTCTGCTCTGCAAAATCTACTGAATAGACCCATACAAATTTGGATCTGTTTTTAGATTCTCTGTTCTACTTCACTGACCTGCTCTGTTTTTCATGTACCAGAATCACACTGTTTATAGATTTATTCTGTGTTTTACCACTTTGTTGGATAATCCAACTTCACCACTATTTATTTTTCAGTAACATCCTTAGTATACATATGTGTTAGCTTTCTATCTTGTGACAAAATAACTGAGAATAACAATTTAAAGGAGGAGAGTTTTATTTTAGTTCACAGTTTGAGTCTATGGTTAGCTGGCTCCATTGCTTTCAGGCCTGTGAGGAGTCAGAAGCATCATGGGAGAAAGGTGTGGCAAAGGAAATCTCTTACCTCATGGCAGCTGGGAAGCAGAGAATGTATGCAGTGCCAGCCAGCAGGCTTCCTCCATCTTCTGCTTCTCTTGCACCTGGGCCACCATCTCCTAGGTGGTGCCACCCACATTCAAGGTGTGTCTCCCATTTCAGTTTGATGTCTTACATGCTAACCATTTCTGAAACTGTTGTGGAAGGAATTGGTAAGTGACACGCACAGAAAAGCACCAGAATGGCAGTCAAATAATAAAAGTTTATTTTGCCAGGCAAAGGTAGACCACACTCACATAGGCAGTGTTAGTGATTGAGCACCTCCTGGGTTGCAGGGCTTTTTTTATATATAGGTTTTATAGCTATGATCTCATTTAGGTGGTTACATATTATTTTTTTAGTTTACATTACTCTTGTATCAGTTACAGTAACAAGATAGTTAACTTCAACCCAGATGTAACAATTCCTTGCAGTTAGGGAGTTTACCTTAAGATTTGTCTAGCTATCCATTCTAGTGCACAGGAAGTGGGTGTTCAAGGTTAGGAATGAGGCTAGATGCCTCATTTCATGGTCAATATCTCCACTGTGTTAATTTTGAACTAAACAAAGCAAATTGCTGTTAGAGACAGCAGAAGTAATTTTACATTTTTTTAACATTTTGTAGGTTTTTAGATCATTTACAAAAGTTTTCTGTATCATTCCTCCCTTTGTTTTGGGGGCAACTCATTGAGTTTATATTAATTAGACCTAATGAGTAGCTGAGTAAGGGGTACATAGTAAGCATCATTGGCTCTAAGGCAGGTTACTTGTGATGTCAGTTGCCTGATAAATCATCATGGTGAATGGTGCACAAATCTAGCAATCAGAGGCTAATTTTTGGTCTTCCTGTAGCAGCAGTAAATGAGTTTTATTAATTAAATCTATTATATCTATTTTTATATGATTTTTTGATATCTTTTTAAGACATTTTTTTTTTCCTACAGCACAGGAGTTTTTTTTTTTTTTTTTTTTTTTTGAGGGAGGCTCTTTTCAACCTTTTTAATCTGTAGAATTTTTCTTTTTAACCTCTGAGGACCATGCCTAGCAGTTAACTGATATCTTATGTAAATATGAAGAATTATTTTTTTGTAGCCAGCTTACTTTTTAAGGCCAAGCCATATATATATATATATATATATATACATGTATATGTATAGTTATATTGTCTTTTTTTACAGTTATCATAATTGCCAGTATTTTTGGTTACAGTAGAACTGCTTAACCATATTTGAGTTTTATCTGAACAGTACATCTTTTGGGGGGTAAATTTTTTATAGTGAAGTATGGTACTAGGGTTTTAATAATGTTTTTTTGGACAAGCATCAAAAAGAAGCATGCGGGGATGTTTTTCTGGTTTTTATTTATCAGTTTTAAAGGTCACATATTTTTATTAAACTTATCATCTTTGGGTTTATAAACTATTAATTTTAAAATAAAGTAACGCATAGCCATTTGACACAATAAAAGAATTTGTAATATTTTGATTGTAGTCTTTATTTTTTAGCCTTGCATGGACTCATCAGCTTCCAGTGTGGTGGGAGCAGGGCTTTGAGTGTGCTGTCTTCTGGATTCACAATTTGTGGAGTTCTGGGTCCCTTTACTCTAGAGTGGTGAATCCACGGTTGGACTTTAGCCACCTTGACAGCTGTGGGAGTAACTAGAAGTGCCTCATATGGTCTTTTTTATATAGGTTTTAAAGTTGTTGTTGTTTTGTTTTTTTTTAACATAAACTCAGTCTCTCAACTTTATCAAGGGCAGGATTTAGCACAGGGAGGACCTCTTTATCTGAGTATTTTATAGCAGCTAGGAGCTTTTGTATTTTTGTCTGAAGTTTTTGTTTAACTGACAAAATTTTTGGCTTTATATCTACCTTAGCATTGCCTTTTGCTTTTGTTTTGTTTTGTCTAGTTAGAACAATGCATTAATGTTATTTTATCAGTTTTTACATTGTTTTTAACAACATGTTATTTTTATTTTTAATGTTTGCCCTCTGTTGTGAGAAGACCATGCCCTTTATATAATATGCCATGAATATACAGGGAAGCAAAGGTGTAACAGGAGTTTGTATAAACATTTAGCCTCTATTCCTTTTGCCCATCAGAGAACCTGCATGAGTGCCCAGAGCTCTGCTCACTGAGCTGGATGGGTCCCGCTTGGACCACTTTATCTTGAGTCACCACTACATAGTCAGTGTCGTGTACCCCATTTTCCATGAAGCTGTTCTCATCTGTGATCAGCATCAGGCAGTGCAGTTTTATGTAGATCAGGACAACTCAAGAATAACTCATCAGTAACACTGAGGTAGTCGTGGTCAGGTGGGCCAGGTTCCAAGGGCAAGAAGGTAGCAGGATTTAAGGTTTTAACTGGAAGAAAATGTAGGCAGGGATTTTTATAGATGAGGGCCTGATATTGTGTGACTCTTATTTGAAAGCTACTGATAGTTTTTATTATTTCAGTTTTAGGACAGCACAGGGAACTGGGATAGTTAATTTTTGTCTTAAGGTTAGCTTGTCAGCTTTTTAAATTAGTATAACTGCAGCTGTCAGAGCTCATAAACAAGGGGGCCATCCCTATTAATAACTTTTTTAACAGAAAATATTATATTTTGAAAATGACCATTATAAATATGTCACAATAGCATATTTAGAATTTAACTCTTTGATAACCAATGTAAACATTTTATAACAACATATTTAAGTAATATTATTGATGTAAGATTTTTTATGCCTGTAAATGTAAACCTTTTATAACAAACTTGAAACCAACAAGCAAACATATATATATTTTTTTGAGTAATCACTTTCATATTTTTGACATATTTAGGCCATGTGGTCCTGTATATTTTTTAAAATTTTTTAAAAGACGAACATATAAAATCTTTTTATATCAAAGGTAGATCCTTTTATATTTATAGCTTTTTCAATATTTTTGTCTCATTTATTATAAACCTTTTATATATAACAAACTTGTCTTTAGCTGTTAAAATTTTTTTTCCTCATTGAGTTTATTGGTACATTTTAGCTATACAGTACAGTTACATTCATTATTGGGATCTTGTACCTTTACATGAAGCTGTTAAAATTTTAAAGTATCTCTTCTTTTTGCTTTGTTTTTAGATTATTACATTTTAAAATTTGACTAGCTGTCAATGCAACAGTATTAACCTTGAGTTTTTTATCAACAAAGTATAGAAAAGAGCAAGTTAACCTTATAATTACAATTTAAGAATTTGCAGAACACAAGAAATGTTTTAAGCACACTAATTAAATGTAACCCGAAATGAAACAAAAATACATTTATCAATTAGTTAAAATTTGAAACTTGATTTTTTTTTTTTTAATTTCTTGATGTCTGGTAAAGCACAGTTGTTTTTCTGGCTTTGTTTTGGATTTTAGACCTTTGCAGACAGCATCAGGCTGATAACACAGTGATGGCCTTGGAGCTCTTAAAGCCTGGAGTGTTTTTGTTTTTGTTGTTGTTAGTTTTTGTATACTTTTTAGAGCTTTTTTAGCTGTCTTTAATTTATCAAAGATTTATTTTTTATTTTAGGTGGGTTTTTTTGTTTGTTTGGTTGGTTGTTTTGTTTTGGTTTGATTTTTGGTTTTTTGAGACAGGGTCTCACTATATAGTAGAGATTGACCTGGAACTCACTGTGTAGCCTAGCTGGTCTTGAACTCACAGTGATCCTCCTGCCTCAGCCTACCAAGTGCTGGGATTATAGGCCTGCACCACCATGCCCAGCAATTTTAGGGTTTTTTTTAGTGTAAAAGCAATTTTTTTGTTTTTGTCCTCACTTCTTTTACACCTGTGATTTTACCAACTCAAGTGGAGGAGGAGGCAGCTTGACCTCCTCTAAAGGGGAAGCACTGGGATTTGCCTGTAACAATGTCACATTTTTTGAGAGAGGCAAGTCTGCCATGTGAAAAACAGCAGATTTGGCAAGTAGTTGTTTTAAGACAGAAACTAAACAGTTTTTACCAGCAGCTGATTGTTGCAGAACAGACAGGCTGGATTGTTCAGGCCCCAAAACAGAGCACACAAGGCTCCAAGTTGTCAAAGTCTCAGTTAAAAACAAAGGGAGATAACATTTTTTTGTCTAGAGTTTTTTCTGGGGGCCAAGTTTGGCTTAGTTGAGGCCATGATAACTTACAAAGCTTCCTGAGCATTTTTTGGTCTTAATTTTATTTTATAATCTCTCACAAAGCCTTTATCAAAATTTTAAATCATGTTCTCAGGAACAGTTGGTTTAGTATTTGAATTTTTTATGATCACTAGATTTGGGGGGGGGGTCTGGTGACTCGGGACAAACAAAGGTAGGTATTACTCATACGCTCACCGGTCTGGCCATGGGGTCTCTTGACCATTATCAGCCACGTCAGAACTAAGGAATACTGTCGTATTAGGGTACCATTTTGTTTATATTAGACACTAGCCACAAAACCTCAGAAACAGGTCACACACAAGCTGCACGATTCGGGGAGGGATCTTTAAGCATTAAAGCCCCCGCTTTGTCTTGGTGCACAAACGAGGCTACTGATTGCTTTCATAGCTCATTTTATTTACTCTCTTAACTGAATTCCTTTTATATACACAATCACACAAGAAGTTAACACATTTTTTTGCTCTGGGGCCCTTACAAAGCACAATAACAAATTGAAGGCTATCGAAACCCTCACAAACGGCAGAGTGTAGGATGACTAGGCCTGCACTCTATATTTTGCCCAAACTGAGGATATAACTCCCAGCAACTGCAAAGAAGGGAGGGTAACCAGGCCTCCAATCTGTAATCTGCCCAAACATTTAATTATGAAACAAAACAAAAGCAAAACAAATGAGAGGTTGCTCAGGAAATCTCACCATTCAGACAGACAATTTTACTTGACCTTTTTCAGTTGTCTCTGCTCTGGGTTCAAGCTATCTGCTGCTGGCGAGCCGACCTCCAAGTCCTAGGAAGGGAGCCTAGGGAAATCCAGGAAGGCTCACCTCTTCCTTTCACTCAGTGGTATTCAGGTCAAAGCCCAACATACGCTGTGTCAATTAACCCTTTTTTTTCCCAGCCAATGCAACAAATGTTGTGGAAGGAATTGGTAAGTGACATGCACAGAAAAGAGCAGAATGGAAGTAAAACAATAAAAAGTTTGTTTTGCCAGGCAAAGGTCAATTGCACTCAAATAGGCAGTGCCAGTGATAAGCCATCTACTACTGGGTTGCAGCTTTTTTTAATATATAGATTTACAGCTATAATCTCATTTAAGTGGCTACATTTTATTTTTTACTTTACATTACTCATATATATCAATTACAATAACAAAACAGTTAACGTTAACCTGTGGGACTCTAACCTCTATGTAACCCCTAGTTAGCCAGCATATAGCAGCACACATATTTTTCTACCCAGCTCCAAGATAAGATTAAAACAGAGTGTAAGGAAGCCCGGCACGGGTAAACAAGATAGCAATTCAAGGCCTCGTTAGAACAGAACAGCCTGAGGTCTGGAGATGAAAGGCCAGGTGCACCGTGTAGCCGACTCCTTTAGATAGATGGCAGAAAACCGACCCCCTGACCCCTGGCCCACTTGCTGTGCTTGCAATCCTCTTCCCTTGCCTTTAAAAAACTGTGCTAAGCCCGGTGCTGTGCCTCTCTGAGCTGCTCAGTTCTGAGAGTGCTGTCTGGCCAGACTAATAGAGGTCTATGTACCAACAAGCCCTGTGTGCTCCTTCCTGGGTGACTCTCATTCCTCCGTCGAGTTCCCGGAGCCTCGATGAGCTGTAGGTCCCAACATCTTGGAGGCCCTTTGGGCTGTTCAAGGTTCCCAGAAGTAAGGCCCTGGGTCTTGCATCCGGAGCCTTCATTGGGCTTTAGGACTCAGCATCGTGAAGGCCCTTTCAAAGGCTGTTCATGCTCCATGGAGTGGAAGTAAGACTTTAGGTCTTACAAACTCTGACATAACAATTTCTTATAAAAGAAGTTAAAGAGTTATATAAGTTAAAGAGTTTACCTTAAAAATTTGTCGAGCTATTTATTCTAATACACAGAAAAAGAGTATTCAAGGTTAAAAATAAAGCCAGATGTCTGAGTTCATGGTCAATGTCTCCAGTAGCTGTTGATTTTAAACTAAACCAAACAGATTGCTGTTAAAGACAACCAAATAATTTTACATTTTTTAAACATTTTATAGGTTTTTAAATTATTTACAAAAGTTTTCTATATCAAAACAGCCTTGCAGACATACCCAGACACATCCATCTAATCTTCTAAGTGTCTCTTAATGTAATCTAGCTGACAATGAAGATTGAATGTGTATATTTATTTTTATATACATTATAAAAATCAATTTGTTTAATTGTGTTTTAAAAACCATTGGTGTATATATTATGATTCTGTTGAATTTATGGAATGTTGCCATATTTATAGTAGGCCATCCTTTGGAGTAGCTTATACTTCTATTTATTTTATTTGTTTTTTATGTTATTCAGTAGCATTAGCTTTTTTCTTCTACCCTCTGAATGTTTCCTATAAAATTATTCCTAGGTACTGCTTTTAATGTGTACAACAATTTTTATTTGAATATATATGAAAATCATTGATTTATATTTATCAAATTTGTGCTTTGCTGAGTTCTTCGATTTTATAACAATTTTTGCAGTGGAGTCTGTCTTTTCCAAATTTTTATGCTTTTTTCTTTTCCTATTAAATTGCACTGGCTCCAATTTTGTTAAATGTTAAAAATTATAATACATTGAACATTATTGATTTGTTCCAGATTTCAATGCTTCCAGAATTTGCACATTAAAAATGCCAATCTACTTGATAAGGAAGTTTCTGTCTAGTATTTTTGTAACACTTTTGTTGAGATATAATTCACATACTTTTTGAAGTATATAATTCAGTTGGTTTTAGTATATTCACAGAGTTGTGCAGCGTCACCATTCTTTTATTTTACAACATTTTCATCACTCCCAAAGGGAACCTTATATCCATTATAATTACTTCTATTCTCCCTCCCAGCCCATGACAACACATCTGCTTTCTATGTGTATTCTTGTAGTTTGAACATTTTATATACAGTTATGCACTGCATAACAATGCTTCCCTCGACAATAGATAATGTATACAATGACAACCCATAAAATTATTTAGTCTAGTGACATCATAGAATCTTACTTGAGTAGGTGCACTCTACTAAATTTTCAAAGAATATTTTAGGTAAAATTACCTAATGATGCATTTCTCAGAATGTATACTGTTGTAAAGTGATTCAGGACTGTAAATGAAAGGCTACAGTAAATGGTGTTTTGTGAATCTTTTACTTAGCATAGTGTTTTCAAATTTCATTCACAATGTAGTATCTAATAATAATACTATATTAATATTATTAATAGTAGTAGTCATAATAATGAACTCAAAGTAGGGCTGAGGCTTTAGCTCAGTGGTGCTGCCACCTGCCTCGCAAGTATCCTGAGTTTGAGCCCCATTACCAATAAAAAAGGGTAATTATATTTTTTTTAAGTTAGCATATAGAATCATTCTACATGTAAAAATTCTAATCACAGCTTGTGTTTTAGGAATCAGTGTGTTTTCAGTGTACAATTATATGTATCCCTATAAAGAGGCTATAAATTATTAGATAGAAATACGTGTTTTATAGCTGTGTTTACCATATATCCTTCTTCTCATCCCATCCCACCTTCCTGGCAGTTTTTCAATAAGACATTTGTTTATGTCAAACTTTTCTCCATTGTCCATAAGCCCTTGAATGACTCATGAAAGTCTTCAGATAAGATCTAAACTCCTTAGTAAGGCATACCTATTTCAGTGGCCTCTTCTGTGCCATTTCTTACCACCCCCACCCACTTTGGGGTTGACCTCCCAGGATGGCTAAACTGTCTGTAGCTTTTGGCATTGTTGAATTGTACTTGTCTACTTGAATGAGCTTTCTTTCCACTCACAACCTGCTCTTTGGCAAGATAATGCCTCTTTCATCTTTCAAGACCCAGGTCAGCTACCACCTCTTCTGTGAGACTTTCCCAGGCCCCAGTTTCTCTCCGTGTTTCTCCTCTGTGTTCCCACAGCACCATGAGCTTCTTCCTATCATAGCTCTGATCATATTCATTAGATTATGCACTCTTTAAAGGATAGACACTGGATCTTATTTATCATTTTATCACCAGAGTCTATCACAGTTTCTGCCACTCAGGAAGTGTTTTAAGTTTGGTGAATAAATGAATAAAACCAGCTCCATATCTCCCAGCTTTAAGAATATCAATAGATGCTACTTGACCGCTTACTGGGTACCAACTATTGACCTGAGAAAGATAGAATATACTCCATGCAGCTTTCACTTTCAAACCACTTAGAAGATTAAGTCATTTCTGTTTATACCCCACCGAGCAGGCTTTATGGTCCATGGCTGCTTTAATCTGGACTCCTTGTTCTGCCTTCTTGAGCTTACCTAATGCATATTAATCTGGGATGGTGATATGCTGAATGCAGATCTGAAGCTAGCTGGGGGCTTTCATAAGACTCGTCAAGGTCTCCGGACTCTGTTTTAAAATATTGCATCATCCTAGACTATTCTACTACCCATCCCAAGACAGAGGCAGTGGCCCTGTGTGTGAATATCTCTGCTGAGAATTATTGTAATTATCCAGAGATTTTTTTTTCCACTCTCCTTTCTGACAAGAAACCATATCCCATAATTCAAAGAAAGGACCAACTTTTGATATTGGAGAAATATAACTCCCAATCTGCTAGATGTGAGGTGTACCAAGCTCATGTCCTCCATAATTAAAGAATGAATTTTAAAGAACAACAAAGGCTTGAGTAGAAAAGTTTGTTGAGAGATAACTCCCGGGAGACAGAAAGCATCCTGAAAGTAGGTTGCCACGAAGGCCCTTTGTCAGGGGAAATTTAGCAAAGTCACAGTGTGGGTACAGTGTGGGTCAAACTATAGTCAATCTATAGGATTGCAAGTATAGAACCTTAGCTAACATTAATCCAGTAGCAAAACAGGTCACACAGTAAGATACATGGAAAGAATAAAGGCATTTTGGGGAAGGGATGGGTTCATATGCTCTGGTCACCCACATATCTAGGGAACAGATGTCTATCTGGACTTAATGGTCTAGGTGGCACTAATTACAATATCCAGTGGTACCTCAGTTCATGAACTTAATTCTTTCGATGATTCTGGTCACAAACCAGGTTGTCTGAGAACCAAATCAAATTTCCCCATAAGGTCAGCAATGAACTTTTGAATTTGATTCAATTCTCATCCAATTCGGTTTGCGACCAGAATCATGGAAAGAATTAAGTTCGTGAACCTAGGGACCACTGTAATCTCAAGTTACTGTTTATCCTCTACAGAAGCACATAGGCCTGGCCATTGCATCTTCATCTTGGTCCTGGTTTTCTTCAGATGCGCCTCCTGACACAATTCTGATGTCTATTTTTCTGCTGATTTTCTTGAGAGCCCAGTCCCTCTCTGACTATATATTTCTATCTAACTTAGCTGCCTGTAATACTTTCCCTGTCTCACCTGACCTCATCCTATAAAATTGCCATTAGGACCCAGCGGATGGAACTCCTTATCACCATGCCAATTTACTGAATTTTCTTACTTTGTAGCAATTTTCTAGTTGATTCTCTTGTGTAATATTACAATTTCTATGAAGGACTTTCTTCCCTCCTGCTGTCTGTGTCTAGTATGCGTAGGCAAAATCTCCATCCAAATGCAGCCTCACTGTCCCTAAGTATATCAGTTAGCAAAGATTATCACCTGATGCCCTTGACTTTGCCTAGTTTCAAGATTATAGGTATGAAGATATTTGTTAAAATTCTGAAGTGATCACTCCAGGTAGTAGTTCTTGACTACAGAGAAAAGACACAAAAATGAATAAAATAATGTGTTGTTAAATATATGTTGAGCCCCAGCTATGTTAGAGGGCCAATAGATATACATTTCCATGGTAAT